TTCTTCTTTTAAATAGGCCATGGGATATTTACACACACCTGAAAAGACAGACGGAGCCTCAGTGTGCCCTATACAACGCAAGGGCTGGCTATGACTCTTGTGCTCAGGTTCCAGGAATGGGATTGAACTGGGAACCCTGTGCTTCGGGGTGAGCATGTTGCCTATTGAGCCATGGCTGTCAGAGAATTAATTAATGCTATCAGACTCAATTAATCAGTGCACTCAAATTAAATGGAACACAAACTACAATTACAGCTAGAAACAGAGATATTCTCAAAACAGCAATTTAAGCAGCAAACCTTTTAAAATAAAGCAGATTGTTTCATCAGCAATCTGTCCATCACATAAAACAAGCCATGCACAGTGTGTACCATATAAAGATGTTTTGCACAATCTCCTAAATCCACTGTCTCTAGACAGACACCCAGAAGGAAAAAAAAATGCATTGGGGAAGTGACCTCTACAAGTTCCCTTCCAAGTCCCACACCATCTGGTCTTGGGACTACACCCTTCACTGTCACTGGTTCCAACTCCTCAAACTTTTAACCACACTGTGGGTGTAGCTGCAACACAGACCCTGGAGCAGAAGCTTCTCCAGGGATGGGACAATAAATGTTGGTCTTCCCAGCAGCACTCTGGTCCCATGAATGAATGAATTTAGAAATCAGACAATTTCAACAGGGAAATAGCAAGAGATTTCGCTGCAACTGATGGAATTTCCCACTATCAAAGTTGGTGCACTAATTGAAACTGTATTCATGTCACCAGACCATTCAAGGACCAGATCTTCCTGTTAATTCTTCCCTAGCCCACTGGTTTTATCATAATGGGGGGGATTCCCATGGCATTGTTAATGAGTGACCTGGCATAAGGTTATGACAATTTCTCACTAACTCTAGTTGGGGAAATCTTCTAACAATGTTAATAGAATGTGGTAGAAGCCGATTGGTTGTAATCAACTTCTCCAAATAATCGTTATTTCAGAAAGTACAAGATTCTTTCTCCTCTGAGAAACCTGCCACTGCAGGGGAAGTCTAAGCAGAGAAATACCTACAGGGACCAATGTAAGAGAAGCTCTGTGTGGGACAGTCCGGGGACCGGATTGGGAATCACCCCTGGGGATTGATGGGGAGGGGAACCCCAGAGGGAATGGAACACCAATTGAAATTATATATAGATATTAGGGAGCATACGAGTGTTCACACAGACCAAAAACGCCAGGGAAATCTTCCTGGATCTGTGTTGTTTAGTGCTCAGCATCAGCCTCATTGTTTGACTGCTCTGCCCAAGACTGTAAGAAATTACAGAGAGTTGTGAATATAGTCCAGTCCATCACAAAAACCAGCCTTCTGTCCATTGGTTCCATCCACATTTCCTGCTGCCCGCAAGGAAGCAACCAACATAATCAAAGACCTCTCTCAGCCCAGTTATACCCTCTCCACCCTCTTCCATTGGGCAGAAGGTACAAAAGCTTGAAAACGCAAATCAACAGATTCAAGAACAGTTATCAGACTTATGATCAGACCTCTCATTGCTTTGTTTTTGTTGCACCTTCTCTATAGCTCTAACACTATATTCTGCATTCTGTCTTATTACTCTGATATACTTATGTAAGGTATGATTTGTCTGGTAAGCTTGTATCTCAGTACATGTGACAATATTACATCAAATCAAATCTAGTGTTGGTAGGAAACAGGGCTTGAACATACAATATCCCCACTAAAGGTGGATGGAAATGATCCAATGACACCACTCAAAATGAACATTGGAGTTTTCTTTATGTTCAGAGGGCATGGGCATCACTGGCTGGTCAGCATTTATTGCCCATCCCTAGTTGCCCTTGAGAAGGTGGGGGTGAGCTGCCTTCTTGAACCGCTGCTGTAGGTTGATCCACAATGCCCTTAGGCAGGATGCAGTGGAGATTTACCAGAATGGTTCCAGGATGTAGGGCTTTATTTATGAAGCTTGGAAACGCTGGTTATTCTTCTTGGAGAAAATGAGATTGAGGGACAATCTGACAGATTTGGACCAGATTGTGAGAGGTATTGGCGAGATGAACAAAGAAAACATTAGCTGACCGTACAAGGACTGGGCAACGCAGGTGTATAGTTATATGGTAGAAATGCAGAGGAGAATACGAGAAAGAGCGGAGGAGTGATAACGACCTGGAACCCTCTGCCCATCTGCATTGTGGAAGAAGAAGCAATCAATTATTTTGTAGAAAATGGATCGGCATTTGAAGAAGGTAATCTTGCCAGGCTACAGACATAGGCCAGGGAAAATGGATTCATTGGATAACTCTACAGAGAGGCACCATACAGAGAACAGCCACCTACTATTATGCAATGACTCTTCTTCCCAACAGTGCCATGGAATAGTCTACACTCACCCAAGACAGTAGGTAGGACACTGATTCACAATCCCATGTGGAATATAGCATCTCCCACAATGCAACACCCCCACAGCACGACAACAAAGAGCTAAACCTAGCTTTTATACCAAGGTCTCTGGAATGAGACTCGAACTGGCAACTTTCCGGTCAGAGCAAAGCTAGCCATTGAGACATGACTTTAAATTACAAATCATTTCCTCCTTCCCGGAGAGAAGCGAGAAGTGGAACAGGGGAAGAAAAAACCTAAATGAAACAAAACTGTCCATCACCTGATAACTCTCAGCATGCAAAGGATAAAATCAAAGCTACAATTGAGCGTAATTTATGTTGTTATAAAAGACATTGTGAAAACTAATATCTTTATACAGTCAAAAGTGAAAAGAAAGAGTTTACCTGAGCTATCACACAGTGGACACATGTCTATGGTCTGTGCACAGAATATGGAGACTGTGCACAAGTAACAGATGATAAACTGGTTACAAAACAGCAAAACAGAAGGTAGGGGTTAAGGACAGAAATAACTCCTCAGAGTCCAGTATCCCATCACCAAGTCACCTTTCATTTACATGTGGAGAGTTTTTGACACTGATCCAGCTCCCTCAGAGCCAGCCTTCAGAGTGAACAGAATTCCAGACACTCCAGTTTATATCTGTCAGCCAGGGCTCCCTGATTGGACCAGGTTAACAGCCCGAATCAGGGAACTCATATTCTATGAGGTCTACCTGGCTCACCTTATTCTAATCAGCACAAAGACAGCTAATCATACTGGCAAATAATTGGAATTGTGTTCCACAGTTGCTCACCATATATATGTGTAAAATAAATTTGGATTCGGGAATTTTTCAATTCTGAAATTTGTGGATCACATCTAATTGAGGGATATGTTTAAACAGAGGAGGAGTTGGGATTATGTTCGGCATGGACTGATTGGATCAAAGGGTCTGTTTCCATGCTGTATGACTCTACGACTGCAACAAAATACAGGAAGACATTTACAAATTTCCAGACAGTTAGCGGCCAGTGAATTTGGGGTGGTGCATTCACAAGAGGAACATGGAGGCCTTCTCCATGGAATCAAGGCACGGAATGTGATCGGAGCACAGACCACGCAGAATTAGTAGAACATAGAACATAGAACATAGAACATTACAGTACAGTACAGGCCCTTCGGCCCTCGATGTTGCACCGACCTGTGAAACCAATCTGAAGCCCATCTAACCTAAACTATTCCATTATCATCCATATGTTTATCCAATGACCATTTAAATGCCCTTAAAGTGGGCGAGTCTACTATTTTTGCAGGCAGGGCATTCCACGCCCTTACTACTCTCTGAGTAAAGAACCTACCTCTGACATCTGTCCTATATCTATCACCCCTCAATTTAAAGCTATGTCCCCTCATGCTAGCCATCACCATCTGAGGAAAAAGGCTCCCACTGTCCACCCTATCTAATCCTCTGATCATCTTGTATGTCTCTATTAAGTCACCTCTTAACCTTCTTCTCTCTAACGAAAACAGCCTCAAGTCCCTCAGCCTTTCCTCATAAGACCTTCCCTCCATACCAGGCAACATCCTGGTAAATCTCCTCTGCACCCTTTCCAATGCTTCAGTACAGCACAGGAGGACCATCAGCGCAAGGTGCCTAAAGCCAATCACCTGCCTCTCCCCTTACGATTGCCTCTTAAATGCCTCAATTGAACCTGCCTGCCCCAAATTCTACTGAACCGTAGAACAGTTACAAAAACAGGACTTTAACCAAAAACATAAATCATTAAAAGCAGGAATGCAGGTTAAACAATTCCACTTAGCCCAAAAGCATGACTTTGAGGTTAACGTCTCTTGTCACTTTCATTCATTTCCTGATTCCAATTCTGACCTCCCTGAACTTGGCTTTCCACGCCCTTTTAATAAAGCTCAACAGTAGCTCAAGAAACAGCCCACATCTTTTGATCAAGTCTTAAAAGTCTTCCAGATTCAACACTGAGTTGAACAATTTGGAACGAAATGAGTTGATTCCATGTTTCTGAAATCCAGCTCTCAACAATGTTTCTGCTTTCCCATTTAAAGCCCACTTAGGTCCATATTGTGTTTCTGTACTCACCCCATTAACATCACCATTTAATCTCTACTGCCCAGTATCCTATCACAGACATTCCATCCTCTTCCCTGTCTCTATATTTGCTTCAAACATTCTTTTTTATGAGTTCTGACGAAAGCTCATTGGCCTAAAACATTAACTTTGTTTCTTGTCAACAAATACTGACTAAATATTTCCAACGAATTTTATTTCATGTCAGATTTCCAGTGTCCCACAGTACATTACAGATATTAAAAATAAAAACAGAAAGTGCTGGACAAGTACAGACTTTATTAGGCTACATTAATTCTAACTGCCAATGAAACAGTCCTCCCCAATCCCTTTCCATACATTCTTTCATTGTTATTTTAATTCAGGAGGACAGGCATTAATGGTTCAGCGTGGAATATTTATAACAGAGCCATCACTTTGGTGTGCAGTAGGCAAAACACAGCAAGGCTTCGAGTTGAATCTCAACAGCAGGAGTTATTTCTTAACTGCAGACAAAGATCATTAAAAAGGTCTCTTACCGCATGACAAAATCTGCCTTGTCGATCTGACTGCCACAATTGCTCTCCTTCAATATTCCGCCATTTCCCACAACTGAGCACTTTTTCAGTGGCAACTGGAACGGTGTATCCTAGCAACAAAGAGAGCTGCTTTCAATTAATGGATTCAACCTGTCCTCTTCTAAGTGTTTAGTCTCCCTTGACCTTTAAGGTCTGGTAGCTTTTCACGTAGTTTCTTTGGCCATTGGCTTTACAAAAGATTACTTTTCCTTCTTTTATCCTTCAAAAATTACACAATGATAAAGATCTTTCATGCACGATACAAGAATTAAAACCCTTAGACAACAGACCCGGCTTTAAAATGCAAACTACAACAGTTTAAAATATTTCATGCACTAGACTAGTTTGAGATCCCCCCCATACTTTCATTTGTTTAAAACCTATTTTATACAATAGAAAGGATTGTGCTCAATTGCCCATATTAAAACAGGCCGGTGACCATTAAATTTTGCAAACTTCAATAACTTAAATACGTAAAGTTTTCACATCTACTTTAGCTCCTAGTCTATTGCGTTCTCACACGACATTGAGACTGAGGTTAGGACTGAAGTCAAAGCATTGAGTGTTAACCTGTGGAAACATGGAGAAGATTTCATTGTTGACAGCAAGTGAGTAGAGGAACTCTCCATCAAACTTGAGGTTCTTTCCCAAGGGTGAGTTCACTTTTGTCACAGCAAACAGTCGTTGTGCATCACAACATTGCTCAAGTAGTCTCCTACGATAAAACAAGAGCCATTTTAAATGGAAGAGAATTGGCAACAAATTTCACCACTCTGTGCTCCTGGGTCAGGGATTTCCCTGGACTGCTAACTTAAAAAGGAGCTCTTTTCTACACATACAAAAGGTAATCAAAGGATAGTTGGGACTGGTAAGGGAAGGGATCAAAAAAAGGGATCTCAGCTTGTAGGTGCTGTGGTACTGAATGAGTACTTTGTACCTATCTTCACTCGAGAAGGGGATGTTACCAATGCAAGGCAGCATTAATAATGGACTAAATTGAAAAATACAGAGGAGATGTCTAATTAATGTCATTAAATTCTTGGTTGAAGTAACAGAGAGGATTAATGAGTGAATGATGCCAGTTATGAGGAATTTAAGTTAGCTGGAGAGACTAGAGTCTAGATCCTCAGACCAGAGAAGGTAAGTGAATGATGTTCAGGATCTTGCATGGTTTTTGGGAAGTAAATTAATATAGAAAATAGGAGCAGGAATAGGCCATTCAGCCCTGCAAGCCTGCTCCAGCATTCAATATGATCATAGCTGATCATCCAATTCAGTCCCCTGTTCCCACTTTCTCCCCACATCATTTAATTCCTTTCACCCAGAACTAAATCTTACCTCCTTCTTAAAAGCATTCAACGTTTGGTCTCAAACACTTTCTGTGGCAGTGAATTCTATAGGCTTCCAATCTGCAGGTGAACCAATTTCTCCTTATCTCAGTCCTAGTGTATCTCTAGACTGTGACCCCTGATGAGATGTAATGGTTTCCGATAGCAGGTAGGTCAATATGTCAAAGGGCTTTTGAAAGGTATTTGACAACGTACAAGTTTATAACAAAATCACAGAATCACAGAATTGTTATGGCGAAGAAGGATGCCATTCTGCCCATCATGTCTTCAAATGAGCATCATTTGTACCAATCTCTTGCCTTTCCTCCATATCTTTGCATGCCCTTTCTACCCAAATAACCATCCAATGTCCTCTTCAATGCCTCAGTTGAACCTGCCTCCACCATATTTTCAGGCAGTGCATTCCATACCTAACTACTGCCTGTGTGAACACTACATTGCTCCTTTTGCAAATCACTTTAAATCGACACCCTCTAGTTCCTTTAACAAGTGGGAACAGTTTCTCATTATCCGTTCTATCTGGTGGCTCATGATTTTGAAAACCTCTATCAAATCTCCTCTTGGCCTTCTTCTCTCCAAAAAGAACAGTCCCAACTTCTTCAAACTATCCTCATGACTGAAATTCCTCATACAGTTACGCAGTATGGAAACAGACCCTTTGGTCCAACCAGTCCGCACTGACCATATTCCCAAACTAAACTAGCCCCACTTGCCTGCATTTGGCCCATATCCCTCCAAAGCTTTCGTATTCATGAACTTATGCAAATGCCTCTTAAATGTTGTAACTGTATCTGCAACCATCACTTTCCCTGGCAATTCATTTCACACACAAACCACTGCATAAAAAGGTTGCCCCTCATGTCCTTTTTAAATCTTTCTCCTCTCACCTTAAAAATATGCCCCCTAGCTTTGAACTCCCCCCACCCTAGGGAAAAGACCCTTGTCAGTTCCTCATGATTTTTATAGACCTCTATAAGATCACCCCTCAACCTCCTACACTCCAGGGAAAAATTCCCAACCTATCCAGCCTATTTCTATAACTGAAATCCTCCATTCCTGGCAACATCCTGGTAAATCCCTCTGAACCCTCTCCAGTTTAATATCCTTCCTGTTTTGTAAATCTTTCCAATGCATTCACATCCTTCCTACAATGCGGCACCCAGAACTTTGAAAAATAGCCCAGCTGAGGCCCAGCAAGTTTCTTATAGAAGTTCAATATCAGCTCTTTGCTCCTTTACTCTATGTCTCTTTTGAATAGAGCCAAGGACACTATGCCTTTTCAAATGGTCTCTCCGTCTGTCCTGCCACCTTCAATGCTTTGTGAACATATACACCCAAGTCCCTCTGTTTCTCCCCATCCCCGCAGAACTGTGCCCCATTTTTTATATTGTCTTCCAAAGTTCTTCATATCAAAATGTGTCACCTCACACTTCTCTGCATTGAAGCCCACCTGCCACCTATCCACCCGCTCACCAACTTGTCAAGGTTCTTCGGGGAGTTCCACACTGTGGTCCTCACAGTTCACAGTTCTTCAAAGTTTCCTGCCTTCTGTAAACTTTCAAATTGTCTCCTGCACACCAAGATCTAGGTCATTAATGCACATCAGGAAAAGAAATATCGACTGCTGAGGAGCTCCGTACAAACCATCCTTCAGTACAAAAAATAACCACTGGCCTTTGTTCTCGGGTTCCTATAACTCAATCAGTTTTGTATCCATGTTTTATTCCGTGGTCTAGAACATTCCTCACAAGTCTGTTTTGTGGCATGGTATCCAATGCCTTCAGGAAGTCCACATACTCCATATCAACATTATTACTCTCATCAAGTGTGTTTGTTACCTTTTCAAAAAACTCCAGTGAGTTAGTCAAGCATGATGTCCCCTTTAGAAATCCAAGCTGACTCCTCTTAATAAACCTTCCTTTTTCCACGTAACTATTAATTCTATCCTGAATAGCTGTCTCTAGAAGTTAACCCAGTAATGAAGTTAAACTGACTAGTCTGTAGTTGCTGGGTTCTTCCTTACAAACTCTTGAACAAGGACAAAATGTCTGTGATTCTCCAGTCTTCAGGCACCTCCCTTAAGTTTGCAGTGCCCGAGAATTTTCCCTCTCACTTCCTTCAGTATCCTCAGATGCATCTCATTCAGGCCTTTCGCCTTGTCAACTTTAAGCACCAACAGCTGATCTTCATTATCAATTTTGAATGCTGAGTTGTCCCCTCTGTGGCCTGGATTGCATCTGCCTCATAGTTAAAGGCAGATGCACAGTATTCATTTAGCCAAACCCCTGCTCCCATATATAAATCCTTTTTTTGGTCCCTAATAGGCCTTAACCCTCCTTTTACCACCCTCCTCATACTTACATGGCCATAGAAGACCTTGGGACACCCCTTTATATTTGCTGCTAGTCCATTCTCCTAATTCCTCTTTTTTGCTTTTTCACTTCCCTTATAAACTTCTTGGTTGTCAGTTGTATTACTTCCTTGCACGTGTCATAAGCGCATCTTTCCTTCGGTATCTCAATTCCCCTCTGCATTGTTATCTGAGGAAGGGTCACTGGACTCGAAATGTCAACTCTGCTTTCTCTCCACCAATGCTGCCAGACCTGTTGAGTTTCTCTCAGCAGTTTCTGCTTTGGTTTCAGGTTTCCAACATCTGCAGTTCTTTGTTTTACATTAATGCATCTTCCCTTGTTGGGCTGGACACGTAATGTTGTTGGAAACTCTCCTGCACTCAATCCAGAAACACTCACTGCCCCTTACCGGGACAAGTATCCCAGTTCATATTTGGGTAACTGAAGCCCCCATTCTGACTACTCTATAATGCTGTAATTTGCCTGTGGATTTGTTCCTTTGTAGCTTCCCACTAATTGGTGGCCTATTGACTAAACCTACCAATGTAATTGCACACATTATGTCCTCAGCACGGGTTAATTCTGCCCTTGCACCCTCTAGAACATCCCCTTTGTTTATAGAGTCAGTGGTTAGCACTGCTGCCTCACAGCATCAGGGATCCACGTTCAACTCCATCCTTGGGCAACTGTCTGTGTGGAGTTTATACATTCTCCCCTTTTCTGTGTGGGTTTTCTCCGGGTCGAAAGATGTGCACTTTTAGTGGGTTGGCCTTGCTAAATTGCCCATATTGTCCAGGGATGTGCAAGATAGGATTATGCAGGATCAGCCGTGGGAAATTTGGGGTTACAGGGTTAGGTAGCAAGTGGGGCTGGGTGGGATGCTCTTCAGAGGGTTGGTGTGGACTCGATGGGCCAAACAGCCTGTTTCCACATTGTGGTAATTCAATGATTTCCCTCTTCCTACGCAAGTCACTGATATTAGCACGGACCATGACCTCTGGTTGTTAGCCCTCCCTCAAAACATCCTTGATCCTGGCACCAGGGGGCAACATTCTATCCTGGAGTCACGTCGAATCACCGAAATGCCTGTCTGTTCCCCTCACTAATAAATTTCCTTTTGCTGTCACTCCTTTTATTCCTTCATCCCTTCCTGTATAGTCATGCCACTCACAAGGAGCACAAACGTGTCTCCGACTGCACGCACTTCAGGAACCAACACGCCCACCTGCCACCAAAATGGAAAACCAATCCGTGAGCAGGATCCCAGGGAAATCTTGCACCACCTGCCTGTTTCTTCTAGACAGCCCAGTGGTCACTCATTCCCCGCCTGCCTCCAAGCGCTTGAGCTGTGGTGTGACCACCTCTCTGAGCACGCTCTCCACGTAACTCCCTGCTTTGTAGATGTGCTGCAGGCTTGAGCGCCAAAAGATAGGGTTTAAGATTCTGCACCTGACTGAAAGGACAATGGTACAATAGATGCAAGATAATAAATAGAAAGTCAAGGGTAGTGGCAAATAGCTGTGTTCCATACTGAATCCAGGAACTCTGGATTTTTTTGACATATATTGATGAAGTGGAGTTGGCTATACTATGCGCAATTGCAAAGTTTTATGGTGACATGAAATTTAAAATTGTTACAAGCAATGAGAAGGACAGTAGCAAACTTGCAACAGTATAGACAACCTGCAGAAATGAGCAGACACATGACAGATGATGCAGACGAGTATGAAGTGACACATTTGGCAAAGAAGATTGAGAAACGGCGACAGAAACTAAATGGTACGATTTTAAAAGACACGCTGGAACTGAAAACTGGAGTGGAAGTACAAAAATACTTAAAGCAAGCTGTTAAAAAAATACGGCAGCCTTGTCATTAGTAATAAAGGAATGAAGGAATGAAATCTCTATAAAAAACACATGTCTGTCCTCATCTGATGTACTGCATTTAATTGTGGGCACCACATTTTAGGTAGAATGCCTGTGATTTGGAATGCGCTGCCTGAAAGGATGGAGAAACAAATTGAATATTAACTTTCAAAAGACAATTCGATAAATACCTGAAGGTAAAATTTCTGCAGGGCTACGCGGGAAAAGTTGGGGAGTGGGATTAGTTGACCAAAAACTGAACTGGACCAGCCATATTAATCCACTGGCTACAACAGCAGGTCAGATTCTGGGAATACTGCAGCGAGTAACTCACCTCCTGACTCCCCAACATCTACAGGGCACAAGTCAGGAGTGTGATGGAATACTCCCCACTTGCCTGGATGGGTGCAGCCTCAACAACACTCAAGAAGCTTGACACCATCCAGGACAAAGCAGCCCCCGCTTGATTGGCACTACAACCAGAAACGCCCACTCCCTCCACCACCGACGCTCAGTAGTAGAAATGTGTACTATCTACAAGATGCACTGTAGAGATTTGTCAAGATCCTCAGACAGCACCTTCCAAACCCACGGCCACTTCCATCTAGAAGGGCAAAGGCAACAGTTCATGGGAACATCCCCACTTTCAAGTTCCCCTCCAATTCACTCCCCCCATCCTCACTTAGAAATATATCCATGTTTATTCAATATCACTGGGTCAAAATCCTGGAATTTGCTCCCCAAAGGCATTGTGGGTCTACCTACAGCACATGGACTGCAGCGGTTCAAGAAGGCAGCTCACCCCCACCTTCTCAAGGGCAACAAGAAATGGATAATAAACACTAGTCCAGCCAGAGATGCCCACGTCATACAAGTAACTTTTAAAAATGTATTCTATAGCCCTGGCATAGAGCCAACATGGATATAATGGGTTCAACAGCCTTGACTCCCATATTTCCCAAGAATTTTTCAACGCACCAAATTACCTCGTTGAACTCTCTGGGCTAGATTTTCTATTCGGGTGCATTGGCTTGGAGCAGAAATTAGGGGCTGGTTGTTCTAAAAGCTCATCTTAAATCAGTTGTGTTCCTGGAGTAGAGGAAGGTTCTTTCTGAGATAACACAGTGTGGAGCTGGAGGAACACAGCAGACCAGGCAGCATCAGAGGAGCAGGAAAGCTGACATTTCAGGTTGGGACCCTTCTTCAGAAATAGGGTAGGGGGAAGAGAGCTCAGAAATAAATAGAGAGATGAGGGGTTGGGCTGGGGAAGGTAGGTGGGATGGTGATAGGTGAGTGCAGGTAGGGAGGATTGATCAGTGAGGTGGGTGGAGTGGATAGGTGGGAGAGAAGATGGACACGTTGTGTCAGGTCAAGGAGGCAGGGATGAGAGGGAGGGTTGGTCATGGGATGAGGCTGGGGGTGGGGAGGTTTTGAAACTGGTAAAGTCCACATTGAGACCGTTCTTTCTGAGATGTTTTACCCTAGTGTTTACAGGTTTAACTTTTAATACTGTGTTTTATTCTCAATAAATATTTGCCCTGTTGCAATATTTTTTCACTCTTTCACTCAGTAAAAATTTTCAGATGTATCCAAAATGTAATCAGAAGCTAAAGCAATAAGTGGATTCAGCAACACCCTGCAGCAGGTGGGAGAAAGGAAGCTGAGGTGAAAATTCTCAATACCAACATCAGGAACCTCAGTAAATCTAACTACCACTCCCAAGGGAATCGTCAACAATAATGAGAACTTGTATTTATATAGCATCTTCAACATTTCAAAGTGCAAAACTTGTCGGGGCCTGGATAATGTGGGTTCTGGTGAGAATTGCATGGAAAAGTCCTTCAAGGCCCCACTCCATGTCAGGAGCAACTCAGTGCATCTTTTATGGGATTGCCACACGTGTTGGGAACTTCAATCCACTGGTAAAGGAGTTCCGACATTTCATCCCATCTCCAGGAGGCTGACTACCGCCAACTACGTGCCCATGTGTTTTACATGATTCGCCCCATGTCTGCTTTAACTCCTATGTTGTGCAGCCCCATCCCATTCCATTCCCCGTTCTTTTACCGAAGAAGAAGAGGATTTAAAACACAATGTCTGCATTGTTGACCTATCTCTGTTTCAACCCACAAAGAACAGTCTGGATTATGATCGAAACTTTTGCTTGTAAACTGAACTGCAATCCGCAATGGTTAAAGGAGGCATATATTTCCCAGACTTTGCTGGATGCATTCCTGGATAGCAGTTGCACATCAAGCCAGGGAGAGATGGTGGTATAATGGTAATGCCACTAGACTTGCTCCTCAAGAGACTATGGCTCTGAGGAGACAGTTCAAATCCCACCTCATTGATAATCAGCCATGACAACTATCATCAACTGTTGCAAAAACTCTCTGGATCACTAATGGCCTTCCTTTAGGGGAAGAAATTCTGGTTCAGTCTATATAGGACTCCAGATCCTCAGCAATGTGGCTAATTCTTAGCTGACCACTACAATGGCTGAGACAGTGGCTCAATTTAAGGGCAATTGGGAAAGCCAAGTTGTAGTCCCCAAGCTCTTATTGCACTGGTGGTGAGCCTCGTGCTAGTAGAACATGACCAGGTAGCCGCTGGAATGTAACATTTCCACGGCAACAGAGTAAAGCAAAGTCTGCGGGCATTTCTTCAAAAACAATTGGCACTGAAAAGAAAACAGAAACTGCGCCACTGTCTTGATTTGGAGTCAAAGGAGAAGAGAAAGATTTTATTTGAGAAATACTTCTCAGAACCTTGAGATATCCCAAAGCATCTCATGCTCAAGTCTTGACAAGATGGGTTAGAAAATGTTGTATCTCATCACCACTGTAACACAGGGAATTAAACAAAATTTTAGAGAGTCGAAATCTGATGAAAGTCTGCCAAATTATTTTCAAACAACTTCAATCTCTTTAGAGAGAGATGACTGAAGATGGTTTAACCTGAGGATCACTGCGCCTCAGTTGAAGAGAGAAGGTGAGAAAGAAAGTCCTTTATGGTAACCTAGGCATTTTCCGACTGGATTTCTGTGCTTTGTTTCGCTAGTCAATGAAATTACAAGGTTACTGCTGCATTAATCATGTCACCAACTGAGGGAAACAAAAGGTACTCAGTGCTGAAGATGTAAGTAGCATGAC